TAATATATATTCTGAGCATCAAAAGAAACTATGCATTACGTTTTTAGAATAAAAAGTACACCAATTCATCTGCTACAAATATTTGTCAGACTTGCTAACTTTGGGATTTTGCTGCAGTTACAAGTATGTTTCTTTAGATGCACAGTTTTTATAAACATATATACTGTAACTACAAATTAATACGTAAAGTGAATCTTTAGTTGCTTCAGATATACTTTAAAAGATTATCATTTGAAAACATTTATCATTTATATAGGACTGTGAGTCACAGTGTCATGAGCTTATTTCCATTTGCACTGTTTGATATGCTTGTTGTTCTCACACCTGACAAACTGGATAATCTACTGTAGATTGCACACATCACACTATTCACAGTAGTTACAGTATTTCACAATTCATCTTCTGGTTCACTTGTCAAAATCTAACATTTTTAAAAAGCCCTATATTCTTCAAGTCAGACAGTAAGTTAAATACAAGAGTATCGTAGTTCCCTTACTGAGGGATGCAATATTGACATATCCATTTATATCACAACTCATAGGCACGATAGTTAGTATCTTTATAATAATTATCCCTATTTTAAATAATAATTTACACCCTCAGGAAAGAATTGGGAAACATGCCAGAGAATCTGAAAATTAATCTTCAAAGCAGATTACTTATTTTAAAACTCACAGCAAACACAAAAACACTCCTTTGAACCACCACTTACACAAGTGAAACTGAGTCTTCTGATATGCCCTTTGTTTACGACGTAAATCATGAGCTGTGACATAAAAATATAATAATCAAGACACATGAAGGTAATTGTAGAATTGTGGTTAATGAGCACAGATATTTGAAAATAAACATTTTTGCACTCATCTGCAATACAGTACATTCACATTAGCAACTGGTGAGTGGAAACTTCTTAGCTGATACTTTGAATGTCAAAGAAATCTAGTCCTCCATTCATTCTGTGAGTTTCATACCTCAGCCACCTTTATTTCCTTATTCAATTTCAGGCATGAAGCTTTCTAAGAAATTCATGTTTTTCTTTAATTAATTCCAACTGCGTCTTTGTGATGAAGCTCTAGAATTTTATTTTTACTATATTTTCATACTAAGTTCATAGATCTTTCAAGATTACCTCTATCAACGCACCTGGTTGTGTAATGGATAATAGCTTTGTGCTGACAACAAAAACTACCGTGAAATTACATCTTACGAGATGTAATATCCAGTAGAATAGCTAAAAATAACGAACAGTAATTTTTCTCCTCCTCACTGGTCATGCGTGACTTTTTCTAACACTTTTACATGGACACATGCCATCAAAGGTTGTTTCCATTATCAAGCACATCCCAAGGAAAATAGGAGCAGGTCATCATGGAGGAGGAGTTTCAAAAAACATCCCAAAAACTAGAGAACAGCACCACAAATAAACCATCACCTTTTCTCCCTTTCATTGAGACCATTTTGGATCAATAAATTAAAAAAGGCAGTCGAGACAATTGCGTGTTCATATCTGCAATAGTTGTTAGCATTTTTATAATAACAAGTTTCCTACAATAGTTAAAAATTCACTAGATTCACATATCAGTTATAAAATATGCTGTTTTGCAAAGATATTTGAAAATGAAAATATCTGTGTCTCTTAGAGGTGTCATAATGTTGACTGCAGCAGGACCAGTTAACAAAAGAGATAGGCATAGGCAGACGGAGAGTACAGAGTTCATGTTCATTTAAGAACAAATCTTTTTATATAATAGATGACATTATATTATGTACCCAGGTACACTTTCTTTGCATATAAATGCATAATTATTTTCATATAAAGACTTTGAACCATTTAACTAAGTGCAGTTATTCATTATGTCAATTGAGATCCACCAAGCATATAGGGACTTTTACTTAGAAAGAAATAAGCTTCTCATCCATTATTCTCTCCATATCTACAGAAGTCTCACTAATGATTTTAAGTCACTTTTAGAAGGGCCGTAAGAAGGCAGTATCTTCTCACAATAGGAATTATAGGAAAGTCAAGTTATCTCTTACAAGAGGATGGTACCATAAGTTCACGATGAAGAAACATTAATTTCACATTGGTAACCCTGATGTATTGGGCTGGCTGGATGCGCTTTAATCTTTTTTATATATTCTACGTGTACTGTAGACAGTTACAATTTATAGACAATATAGTGTAAAAAAAAAGATATAAACGAATTAAATGGTTTGAAATCACCTTTTCGGAACAATGTGTTTTACACCCCAAACAAGTCAGAGGGGCAGCCTAGAATGGGCATACGAAGCCAGCCATAGATCATCAGGCGATTTGAACAAGAAAATCAATAGAGCCCACAAAATCAATCTTATGTCACAGAGATTGAACGTTCACGGCATGAAAAAATAGACCTTGAGCTGTTTCAGACAGGCGCATATTCTAATATATGTGCACACGATTTGGCTGAGTCAGTGCCCTGGGAGCACACAGACCAGAAACAGACCAGTAGGAATGCACTGACTTGTATTGAGAGCAGAAACCTCACACTGATACTGCAGTATCTTTTAACAATAGATTGAATTACATTGAGGCATACTGCACTTTTTAACCAGATGAACAAAGTCAGGAGAAATTCTCATTTGCAACAATGAACTAGAGATTAACCATTTAAACAGCAGGGCTGTTTGCTCACAGTTACTCATGGTTACAACCACAGCATCCCACCCCTGATGTGAACTCACAGTCCCCCTCTGTTGAACCCAGGGCCTTAACCACTATTCTAAACACTGCTGCATGCTTACAACCCATGGGTAAAGCTGAGGAATCAAGAAGGACAGCCAGAGGATTTCAATGTGAAGGTTACAGCGGACAGCAGCAATAATACTTATTGAGAATGGAGAATCAAAATGGAACTGAGGCATCTGGTGTGAAAGGAAAATGAGAAATTATACATTAAAATGTAACGCCGACATTGTAGCATAGGGAAAAGCCCACACAACTAAATTATTTCCACACTGTGTGATCCAGAATGTGTACATATTGGACAGCTATTGTTTTAGTGCGAACTGTAACTGTAATGACACTGTCTTTAGCCATGTACAGTACAGTACGTCTTCATATTTCTTCTGAGAATAATGTATTTTCGTGTTTATGAAATCTTGGCTTTTAGGACCAAAGTTTAGTGAGGCTGAGGAGAGAAGCAAGAAACAAGTAATTATAAATCTGGGGACCACTATTTTTTTCCAATGCCATTATTTTCTGCACACTTCCCACCAGCACAATGTTCACTGTCGCTGCCCTCAGTCAAGTGGCTTACAGGAGCCACAGCATCATGGTATCCTTGCCAAGCAGTGCCACCTGACATGGCATCAGTTCAGGGACTTTCCAACAGACGTGGTAGTTTACCTACCACCAGGGAATATGTGGGAATTTAATTTCTGTTTCTTATCTAAACATTTTCTGATATTCAATATTTTAGAACATGTATCGAGGAGCTCATGTTATACGTGTTCAAAATATACCATATCACTTTTCAATAAACAGATAATGGCACATCTGGAATTGCTGACAACGAACATTTTCTAGAATTATTAACAATTTTATATAATTTATTAAGAAATACACTTAAACTGTTATTATATAAATCACTTTAAAATAAAACAGATTCCATTAATTTCACTCTGTATTCATAACAGAGTTCTATTCTTTATTGTTCCTTTATCCAGTGAATTGAGAACAAACTCTTATTTAGAGAGGACACCAAGAGACACATTTCTACAGCCTGGTATTTACTGGAGAACTCAAGATTATAACACACAGTGTTAACACAGGCTTGCTGCATACTCCTACAACCTTCTGTGAAAAACAAAGCCTGTTCTCTTTTTTAACATTTCTCCTAATGTTTCAAGTTCAAATCTGTGATTAATGTTTCATTGTTGATTTGAACAATTTTGTCACTAAATCTAGTGATACCATGAATACTTGCTAACAAATGGCATAATATGTTTGTTACCAAAGTGTTTTAAGGGTATCACTAGAAATACTGTATACAGTAGCAAAGTAGAAAAAAACTACCAGCTTACCGAAATTGTGTACATCAATCATGCTAGCATTTTAACAGATAACCACATCCTTTGAACCAAAAGTACTGCAAAACTGAACAAGATTCACTTTTATACAGAGCTTGTAAAATTGAAACACTCATCTAGCAAATTATTTGTAATTCTTCAAGGCTGTTGCTGTATGACTCAGCATCTGAACACTTCGCATCTTTTTGTACAAACAACTTTATCACACAGCACTGTAGATTCCTTCTCAGAATGGAGTTACTTCTTCATTTTTCCACATGTACTGTATAAATGTAAAGTATGTAATGTAAGGTATATAACCAAGAGGCAACTCAGACGTCTCTCGAGGCTCTGCCCCCACAGTGCTGTGAAATGCCAAGAGCGAATTAATATTTGTGTCCATGATTCATAGCGATTGCATGTGATACAGAGCACTACATTCACTTTAGGTTTGCTATAGTTGCAAGTGTTGTTTTCTCAGACGCCACACAATTACTACACAGTGAGGGACGGCACGTTTGAGGGATGTGGTGGTGCTGGGACCATGCGGACCGGGCCTGGGACGGAGGTGGGCCAACAGGAGACACAAAAGAGGCAGAGCTCCAGGATACTTGGCCATTTGCACGAGGTCAGCTCGTTAATTAGGCCCTAGTCGTTAGCTCTGCCTAGATCCAAGACATCTCCAGCTCACTCCCGCCCCTCATAGCAAGTCCCGAGCCCTGGTCTGGAATAGGCTTTGTCAGCCCCAGTCAGAGGGAATCACAGGAGCAGAACAGACAGAGAAGAATTTGGGGGAACACAGATTGCACCCCTGGACACAGGAGAGAACAAAATATGGGGACAGTACAGGGAGCAGTAGAGGAAGGCTCCAGCATTGTCTTCCTGTCCCCCTACATACTACTAAGAAAGGGTAGGAGGGGTGTATAATGGACTACATTGTTTGGTTCGCCTGGGACCGAAGGCGATACCTAAAGTCTCTGAAAGACCTCACGATGTTTCTGCTCTGTGGCGGTAGAAGCCACACCAGGGTACCAGACGGAGGAATAGTGGTGATCGACTCCTCTTTTGGGGCATTTGGGGTTTTGGATAATTGGCTATCATGAGGGCTGCTGTGTTTCTGTGTGTGTATGTGTCCTCTATGGCAACTGTGTCATGCATTCTGTGTGTCGGTAGGCAGTGGCAGGCATTGTAACTTTTAAATTAATAGGCTGTAATAAAACGGGGAATTATGTAGGATAACTGTCTTGTCTGATCCATGGGTGTACTGGTGGTTCTGGGAGATATAAAGATCCTGTTGCAAGAGAAAGACCCTGAAAATTGCTACTGTAGGTGTCACAGGTGGCTACAAAGTATCCCTCAGATGTAGGTCACTGTGCTCCAGTATATATAATGTACCTATCTGTGACACATACTCTTAAGCACACCCCAGACATGGAAGGCTCCTGGCAAGATACCTTTATTCACAGGTCGGAGTTAACTGTGAAACATTGAAGAGCCGCTGGCTTTCACTTTACTGCAAAAACTATACACCAGATTTGTAATCTGAAATCCTCACCGATGACCCCTCCCCCTGTCAGCATTCTAAAATAGCAAAAGCTAATTAATATATAATATTCATTCCCATGATCCTTAGCAATGTTCTGAACTCATTCCATAAATGTGGAAACATGTTCCCCGTGACATATTCTGTATAAGCCCCGATTCATGCACCTGTGCCCTCTTGGCTCCACATAAAATCATCACAAATCAGCATTGTAAATAAGCAAACTTATGTACCGTACGTTACTGTTTAAATGACTAGTTTATTGATTACATTCCCCTAGAACACCTACCTTCGACAATTTTTCCTGTCTGTTCAGCAGTCCCTCCAGGTAAGACCTTGGCAATGTACGCTCCAATATCTCCTGTGTTTCCGGGAATTTCCTTTCCACCTACTATTCTGATACCTAACCCACTGCCTAAAAAAACAAACAGGAGATTAAATATTTCCAGTACATACTGAAGAGCTTCATTTACAATAGAAACACAATACTCAAAGATGCCAGGGCACTGACTTAAACAACATGGCTGGGATGCATGCTCCATACTCTCACAACTCTTTGTGCAAACAAATGCCTCCTTTTCTCCGTTTTAAATGCACTTTCTTATGGCTTCCACTTGTATCCACTTACAGTACATGATGCCAAGTCCATCCAAAAGTTACAAAAGCAGTTTAGTAATTTTGTAACTTTTCATATAGAGATAAGAGATAAGATCACTTTATTGGCCATATACAATTTCATGTATTAGGAATTTGTCTTTTCGCATACCCCAGCTTGCTCTCCATGAGACACACAGACAGGGAGAGAAGCTGTGGGTCAAAGCGCAGGGTCAGCCATTTATACGGCGCCCCTGGAGCAGTTGGGGTTAAGGGTCTTGCTCAGGGGCCCAGCGGAGTAGGATTCCTCTGCTGGCTGCGGGATACAAACATGTAAACTTCCAACCACAGGCGCAGATCCCTGTAAAGGGCAGTGGTGATTTTCATTAACAGAACGACACGATGCAGTGGCAAAATCTGTAAGCTGGATAAGTGACATTGACTTTACCCTGACAGTATGTACTCATAACTGCACTAATATTTGCATTTTGGTTGTAGTGGATGTTCTTCTTCATCAACTTTTTCCTTGGATGTCCAACAGGGTGGAACTTCCTGTCGCCTGGTGGCAAACATTCTGTGTGCCAGCCCCTGTATGCGAAGTGGGCCTTAGGAGCTGCCTTGGAGACAGCAATGGAACTCTGGCAGCTGACCATCCTCATTTCATTTGCTGTTTTTTCCACTGCATATTTATTAGGTGGGGGAAGAGACGGAACATCTCTAATTTATTAGCTGTTTTATATCAACCAGTGCCATGTGCAGACAGTAAAAGGATTATTTTTTTATACTCCCTGTCTTTCTAACTGTTCATTGACACTGACAGTCTTACTCTACTCTTAAGACACACATGATGTGTCTTACAGCCCAACTGAGCCAAAAAATCATCCCTCTTTTCATTATTCATGACTGGCCTTTGGGCGCACATTCACTATCATCGGAGCATATTTTACTGGTATTTGAAACTGTTATACATACAAAAAAATCTTATCATTTTGGATGAAAACTAAGTTTTCACAGTTTCAACCATTTCATTTGTCTCTTTATTCTAAGTAAGAGCTAGATATGCTATAAATTGATACAAAAATCATCTTAAACTATGTTTTGTCTAATAAATTCACCATTCTTTGTCATAATACCTTATTCCAGATCAATAATATAGTTGTCACTGTGTCTCTTAAATAAAGTCCTTGAAAAGGAAAACTTCAAATCTCACTGCACTTACAGAGTTAACATTGTGGACTTCTTTGTGATCAACAGTAAAACAAGACCCAGAGGAAAGAAATGGAAACTATGTAAATCTAAAACTGAGAGTAAAAAGTACTTCTTTTACCCAAAGGGTAAAACATAAACAATGTGTCCGGCCATGTTGTTGACGCTGATACCCTGGTTTCTTTCAAGAAACAGCTGGATGAGATCCTTGGATTAATTAGTTACTGCCAAACAAGCTTGATGGGATAGCCTCTTCTTGTTCGTAAACAGTACTTATGTTCTTATCCTTTCTGAGGACAGCAGTGTAGTTGGGAAACTGCCTTCATGTACAGGAAGTGTGATGATCACATTTCACTGAGACAAGGTCTTGGGGTGTCCCATTTCTAAATTTGTGTTTCCCAGGCCTACTCAGGAGCACCCCCAAAGCGCCCTATATGCACCCTTCCGTAAACTGCACATCTGAGCGGAGTCCTCAAAAGGGAATCACCCAGAATTCCTCGCTGAATGATGACGGCTCGTGTTCTAACCTATCAAAGTGGAGAGAAGTTGCCGTGGAAAATAAAATATTCAAGTGTCAGTAAAATTATACATTGCAGTCCTGGATTCAGAGCGCAGGTGTAAGGTCCCCCACCTAATAAATATGCAGTTGAGTAAGGTACAGCACTTTAACCAAACTGCTTTAGCAAATCTACTGTAGCTGCATAAATTGATTCTGAAATGGACTGTAACTTCTGTAAGCCACTTTGGACTCATACTGTATATTAGCTAAGAAGAATATTTTATTCATAGTCAGATGGGTTTACTTCTACAGAAAGAAACAACAGTTAAATACAACCACTCGTTAAGAGTGTCGTTAAGACTGTGTTTGACTGCCTACTTATTGTACGGTACAGTATGTATTCTTTATATGAATTAATGATAAGGTAATGTTCCTTGTTTTTTTCTGCAAATTAGAATGTACATGAAGACTTTAGAACAAAACACCTCGTTTATTAAATAACAATTTCTTTACGAATAATCTTTATTTATCATTCATATGGTAATGAGTATCCCACTTCCAGAGACAGAGGTTGGCGTAAAATTTTAACTTATATAACAAAAGCATCATAAGCATTATAGCTTAACTCTAATTTGTTAATACTATGTGAACTTAAAAACATACCTGATACACTGTGGTCTTTTGGATCCTTCTGCAGTTTCACACGAATATTGGGAAAACTGTACTGAACAGGCTTGGTCTAAAAGAAATAGAATAGAAATGTTAACCCGCTCTTGGGAATAGACAGTTACATTAACAAAAATATTTAAAAGAGCTGTGCCTCTCTTCAGCAACAGACAATGAGCCTGTCATCCAATTCACCCTCTGAGTACCTGGCCAACCCTCAGGAGTGTATGGACAAAGCTCAGGCTTTCACTTGGCAACAATGTTCGCTGGGTGCCAGAAACAACAATATGACTTGGACAATATCAGGCTATACTTGGGAGGATCCCAGCTCCATGTTTGACTAGCTCTCAGACAGCTCTCCTGTAGTGTAAACCAGGAGATGTTCAAATAGTATAGGAAAGTGGTGGTGCTCCACTGTGGCCAACAGGCCCCATATAAGAAGTAGAGGGCTAACAGGAGACACTGGTCCTGTAGAACTCCAGGCATCCCCAGGGGAGACATAGGAAGGTCTAGGCCACTCTACCATTAGTGTCACTAGCAGACCATAAGCCTCTGACAAATGGTCGCCCAGTGGCCACAGAGACCCTTCCAAAGTGCAAAAGACAGATCTGAGATCTGAGACTGGACCTGCTGGCTGGAATACAAGATATGCCAGCTGGCAGGACTGTATGAGGCCAGAAAAACAATCTGGCGCTAGACAACTGCACTACGGTGCCAGGTGATATCTGGAGCTCATTGAACACAGACAGGACTGCAAGGAAAGTAAGGTATGTAGCTCTGCAATTTCTGCAGGGTTCTGCTGGAAAAGCGAATGACGGAATTGTTTTTCTTTATTGTAGTTGTAAACGTGAGGAATTTCTAGTTCTGTTCATTCACTTCAATCATTCCTTGTGTGTTTGTGGCCTACATCATGAGTATGTGAGTGAGTAGCATGGATAGAGCTGGGAATGACGGTAGTCTAACGTAGAGAAAATAAAGGAGTGGAATGGCTCCTTCAGTATCAGGGACAAAACAGGTAGTAATAATAATTAACACAACAAAAACAGACAAACATCACCAGCAAATGTATATACAGTACAACAGTGAGATAAGATACGAGAGTTATTTTAGAATGTTTGAAAGTGAGACTGCAGAGGGGATGAAAGATTGCCTGAGTTTGTTACTGATACACCTGGGGAAACAGAGGCATTTCCCAGATGGGAGAAGTGTATAGTAAATGCACCGTAGAGGGGGTGTGCCACACTCTTCATAATGCTCTTCTTTACAACTTTCTGTTTGCAGAGGGCATGCTGTATACCTGTAGTGTGATCTGATTTTCGCCCATGAATTTGCTAAGGAGATAAAACCACAAAGAGCCTCCTGAGTGCCTCAACCACTAAAGGTGCTCATCTGAGCACGGGGAGGGGGAATGGCTCAGTGCTCCTTGATTCGACTGGGTCATGTTGCTAGCTGACTGTGACCAGTTCCCCAAGAATCAGCATACACTTGGCTGAGCACCACCAAGGGCAGGGTGGGATTGGTCAATAAGGGCTCTCAGTGACACAGTGACCTCTGAGGTGCCTTCAACATGTGGGATGTACCTCTCCTCCAATCGGCACAGAACCCCCCACCCCCATGGGGTTGTGATACCTTTGAACTTTAAAAGATAAGTAGCTTGAAATTTTATAGAGTCAGGGGACTGTGCCCTCACTTCTTCATTCTCCACTATGTGTACTCGTGCGGTTCGTACAGTACCTGCCAGCTGTCTTAAACATACACAGCAGGTGATTCCATATCAGGTGGGTACAGAAATGGGCAACTCTAAGTCAAAACAGTTAATGTGGGAGACAACACTGAGGTCCTGCATACAAGTAATAGGTTTATTCCATGCTAAAAAGAGAAGAAAACACAACATTTCAGCCATGGAGCCACACCTGAAGAAGGGTCCATGGCCAAAACGTTGTGTTTTCTTTCTTCTTTTTTTTCAGCATGGAATAAACCTATTACTTGTTCTATACAGTATGTCAATCTCACTGAAATGCTGTGGATTGTTTTGAAGGCTGCTATTGCAAAGAGGAAATCAAAATTGCCTGTAGACTTCACAGCTGTATGTGTTGAGGAAGGCTAAAAATATAATCAGAATGATCCTAGGAACATGTTTATACAATATTTATCACTTTATGCATGTCATATAATGCACACACATTTATACAAGTGCTATTTACAGTACATAATTTTTCCTCTGGCTGCATAATTATTTCCAACACAGAATAAATGATCTTAATTATAAAACAGAATGTCTAATTTGTATTTTCAGTAGTACTATTGGAAATTATACCAACCACACAAATTGTGCATTTTCTCAGATTCTTAGGTGTCTGTTTCACTGGTCATAGTAGAGCTTTGCTTTACTGATAAACCATAATAAGGGCTCTGCCTCTAAGAATATGAAGTCTCTTTAGGCAGCTCTGCTTTCTAGTGCTGTGAAACAGCCAGAAACTTAATACCTATTCATATATCCCATAATACACAGCAATTGCTGCTCGCTATTACCATCACAATACTGGAAGTTGTTCCAAAGACGACCTACTGTATAAAGTTGGTACTCAAAATGTGTATTGTTCTTGTTAAAACCATAAAAAACAGGTCTCCTTACCTCTCCTTGCTGGTGCTGGCTTTGTCTGCTATGTGATGTTCTATCACTTTGCCTCCGATCCACAGCGTGCCCATTTTCCAGGCGGGAATCACGAGGCTTGTCAAACCAATCAGTCTCCTCCCGGCGCAGGTGGTAAGCTTTGGAAAGCAAGTTAGAATCAATTGCCCCATCCCAGAAGAAAACAACAGCAGTGATGGACAGCAGGGCATAGAACAACCTGCTTATTGTATTGCTTGGGATCAGTAAGTTCATGCAAGGAAACGTGTGACACGTTGGGAGAAATAAAAAAACAGTAAGCAGAAGCACAACGAGAGGAAAGACAGCTAAAACATACATTAGGCTTTAATGAAGGTCTGTGATTTTTGAAGGAATACTTCCTTCATTTTTCAAGGTGCTTGTCAATAAATGTAATCTATTCTGGAAAAAAAAAGGTATTTCATCATAAAATGAAACCTTTTTCCCATTATCAAAAACTAGTAAATTATATTTTTCAGCTAAAAATGAATAGATGGTATACTAACATGTCATGTGTACTTCAGTTAAGTTCATAAGAATGGCACTGACCATTTGCCCCAAGCATTAAAAAAATCAAAACTACCACCTAATCAGCATGGGTTTTGAAGGAAATTAATTTCTTATATCGCCTTCTAAAGGTTTCACGAAACTACCTCCATATTTCTACTTCTTTGAATGCCCCTAAGTGACCTTTAAAGTTAATTTATTTGGAAATGTCAACCGAATCTTGCAATAAAATATGGATGGTTTTGGACTCTTACGTTCTTCACAGAAAGAATGAGTTTGTTTTGCATATATAATTTTTTAATCACTGTTTGAAATTGAAATCCCAGAATTTCACATACTGCCTACAGTAAATGCGAAAAATGCCATACATTTTTGTTTCAATTGACATTTTTCTTCATGTTTGTTTCAAGTGTATGACTTACAATATTGACTTATTCAAATCCAGGAGTGCTTGACTTTATGTAAAAGTTATAATCTAGCAAGAGATCTATCTTAAGGTATTGTTTTCCCTATGTATACTGTAAAAACACCAACAAAACAGAAAAAAATATAAATATAAAATATAACTATTTTATAACAAATTTTACTATGTGTTATACTTTTAATACATTTTAGTTTTGTATCTGTTATTGATATCTGCAAAATTGAATGTTTACAAAGAATAGATTTACAATACCTTGGTACAGAACAGTTCCCTGGGCCTGTTTCATATACTGTAGTATGATTAGTATTCATCTTCGTGTTTCCTTCTTAATTTAGAACTCAGATTTGTCAAAATTAAATGAACTATTATTTGTTTTATTTTCTTCATGACAAATAAAATATGAAATCTAAAGTCTTCTTGACTTGTGCCAAATGAAGAAATGTCTAGGAAAAAAAATACCGTAATTTTGCTGTGGAACGCTGCATCCCAATGTATTCTTGGCGCATTCAAATGTTTTTTTGTAGCGATCACATTCTAAAAAGGAATTAAACTGCAGTCAAAAAAGATGCAATTAACCTCTTATACATGGAGTGATGAAGTGTCAAATTAAATGGACTAAATCTGTCCTGAAATCAGTTTTTTATACATGTATGGTTATACTGTGTACTTAAAATGTAATCAGTCCGTCAGCCTAAAATGAGTGATGTTTCAACTAAATTAAAGTTGTTACTCTTTATGAAAAACATAAATTGTGCACTAGAATTACATAACTGTGGTGCACTGCTTTCTCAACAAGAGAAAACAGAAGTGTTGATACCATTGTGAGTTGTAGAGGTATAATATTACAAAACAGACAAGCCTTTTTTCTTTGTTGTTGTTGCATACGTCAGTCCCATACAGCTGTGATTAGACATAGAGGTTGCCAGACAAGATACAAGTTTTTTAGTACAGGTCATCAATTCACAGAAGTGACAGCTAATTTTAGCCTCCATTAACAATACGAAGAATGTATCAATCATGGTGTGAACCAATGGTTTGAGTGGATAATAATGAATGTACTACAGAAAACTTGGAACAAGTATGTTTTGCATTCAAAATTATTTTTTACACTTACATTATTATGCATGTAGATAAGGAAGACTCACAATCCCTAAACAACAGCTTTGGGTGCATATGGAGATGAATACCAATGGATCGGAAGTGTACCACTGAGATGCAATTTGTTCAAACCATGAGACATATGGTAAATATATATTTATGCTTTATGAGTTTTAAAATTATTTTAACTCTCACCTTCTAAATCCCAGCTAGTGCCTCCTGCTGTGATGCAAAATTATGTTTTAGAATCTAAATGGCAAATTACTACAAGAAAAGGTTAGTGCTTCCTACAGCAGAAAAGACATTGATGACTGTCTCTTTCATCTGTGACTTTTCTGTAATCTGAGAATCTTTATCTGAATTCAGCAAATTATAATATAATGAGTATAAGTACTGTATAATAAGTCATAGGTATTTATAATTGAGGCTCATAACGGTGGATTATACATAAATATATCTACATATAAGCCTGCAAACTGTTTCTGCAAATTCGGTTCTGATCTCATAGGGAACCTTTTCATGACCAGAAATATCCAAGAGGGTTTTACCATGAGTTTATGTTATATTAAGATGCTATAAAGCCACACTGTAGGTCATACAGTAATGTTAAGTAACTTTGCGAATGGTATACTGTACATATGAAATTCTCAATAACTGACAATTTGTTTTTGTCAGACAAATTGTCAGAGAGACAACAAAATCGGTAAATTAGTGCTTTGAAAGTAAACAGTAAATATTACTATGAATAAAACTAATCTTGCAAGACACAGTCCATATTCTCCCAGAGGAACAGCACTTCACAACCTCTTTAGCCTTACCTTACTCATTAGAAACGTAAGCAATTAGTAAGTTCAGCTTATACCCTACCTTGATTTAACGTGATTATTTCTCCCAGACACATTTGTGTCACCAGAGAGGTGTTAAATACCACAACTAGGACAAGGTTATACTACACTGTACCGTATGACATCTAATTTCACATAATGGCTGCATATTCTGTCCTACTTAATGCATTAGCTTTAGCAGGATTAGTATACTAAAAAAAGCAGGAGTATTTGATTTATGTTATAGTTCTTTAGCAATATTAAGGATCAGCCTTAATAGAAACAGAAAAAAAACATGCCAGTAGAAATATAATTGTGGCAGATCAGGTTTTGAAGATTGTACAGTAACAGCCAACTGCCACTAGAGGCTGACAAAGGCCTCAGTCACTTGTAAATAGTTTCAATGGGTGTCAATCAGTCCATTAAAAGTTTGGTGACAGTGGTTGTTGGGTTTTTGGTAGAGGTCTGGAGAGGGTTATTTGTGTTAAGTAGTGGGGAGAAGGGACTGTTTGTGACTGCAAGACGTGTTCTTATGGTAACTCTGCAATAAAGACTCCTGCACTGTACAGCGTCTTCCTGGTGAGTTTACATGTGCTAAGATAGTTAGAGTAACTCAAAGATGGGGTCTGTCATAGCAATAGTAATTATTTTCTGCTTATGTAAATTAAATCCCTATCACTTTCCCCTCTCTTTCCACCTAGCAATATTTCCTTTTTGAAAATGGTTACTTAAGAAATTATCAAATTTCTTTCATCTTTTTTTAAAAGGGATAAAGGCAGCATTTAATTTTTACCTAAATCCATCAATTGCAATATGTTTTTAGTTCACATCCAAAGTGGAAGTCATTTGTTTGGAAGGGTTAAAAAGGGCATTTTGTAATTTCTGATAACTAGAAGTGCTCCAGTCAGCAATTCACAGGATAAACTGTTTGGTAAAACTTTGTTAACTAAATAGAGTAGTAGGAATGGGCAGTGCCTTTAAACAGGTTTTATCTTAGAATACAATTTCTTCATTTTCTTCACATTTCTTCAATTCACAGGTTTATTAAACTGTTTTCTCATCGAAGGATGTATTCTCCTCCCACTTCTATAGAGTATCAGCAATTCTTTCTGAACATTTTAATATGTACTAGAGTGCTGCCAAAAAAACAACATAACTAGTTTTATTACCATTTGTGGGCACAATTATACCGTATGTAAGTGATCAGGAACATTGTGACAGTAAACCCTTGTATCTCAAGTAACAGCCAATTAATGAGTGGGACATTGATGATTAACCTAGAAATTGTTTTATAATGATGACGATGGCTTGAAAAGCTTGGCATTTTCATTCTTGATGTCATAGCAGGGATGCTGTACAGAAGATTCAATACCCTCAAGGCAAATCAGTATCCCGCTGGAGACAGCCTTAATCACCCCACCCTTTTGCACAGTACCCATACACATGCAACTTTCCTCCTTTTGGCATATTTAAAGTAGGGCTGCAGAGCTCGTGTGTGAAAGGTGGTTACAGATGAATAGATCTCCTCCAACTAAAATGTGGAACACATCTTTTCAAAACAAATCTGCCTTTCAGATTTTTCATTAAACATCAGCCGCTGCTGTTGCTACTCCCACGACTCTAAGGCTGAAACGCAAGTTTTTAAACACCTGCCAATCTGCTTCCTTTGGGACAGAGAACACGGAAGACAAAAAGTGGGTCATGAATGCAAATTGGACAGACACGTTCACACTGACGTTATCTTGTAAGTAGCCCTCCAGTGACAGGAGGGAACCTGCAGAGGGGAAGATAACTCTCGGCACACTGGCATATGAGAAATCTTTGGCTTTATTTACTGCAGCTATTGGAGAGGCGGCTTAACTGACTTTCAGACCACAAGCTTCCCTTGGAGAGATTACTACCCAGAACAGTTCCTCCAAACCTGACAGTTTTACAATGCACTGGAGCTACTGTACCTCGGCATGATAGCTACAGAACAGCAGAAATGTTTCCTGCTGTGTATATGCAGTACACTGGATTTCATAAAGCTGTATTTCATAATGGACATTAAGAGATAGGGTCCATCTCTGGTCACTTTACAGCTTCTCTGGCCCAACCGCTTACCTTCTCTGTCCAATGTTTTGACACCCAAGGATGCTGGTTTCTGCTGTCTATCTGGGCCTCACAGTCCCCTCATTCCTTATCTCTCTGACAAGTCATAAAACTGAATTACACAGATGACTTTGACTCTCTAATTCTGTCCCCGCCACAAACTCAGCACTGGTCCATGGCAAGCTACACTGTACATTGGAACAGGTGAAGGTTCATTCCAAGCTGAATGAATTTCGGCTGTGGAGCCTTCTTCTGGCGCGTCAACACTTTGTGTTTCTTTTCTTTTTACCTTTCAGCTTGGAACGGATCTTCACCTATTCCTTTGCAGACAATGAATGCTGCCACAGCTCCATACTCAAATATATGTATTGTCTTGCTAGCAATTCCAAGCAGCTCTCGCACAGTGTATGGAGATTCCCAAACTAGTCATGGAATTCAACTCCCATTTGCAGCTCAAGGAAAATCCCTCTGCACCGCAGGTGACAGTTTTTAACAGACAAGCCTCTTATAATCAGCCTCTTATAATCCCTATTGTTTCTAACAATATACACAACAGACGTTTTCTTCCTGTGCAAAGCGTGCTCCACTCCATTATTTCTCGTGGTAAGGATAAGAATGGAATGTGATGATTTAAGTAATAAACAAATACCTGATAATACATACAGTAATACTACTTTACTGTAAACACTGCATGTGGCTCTCAGAGACCACTACTTCATCTCTTCACCTTACATCTGCACCCAAAAGTTATGCATTCAGATTTTTGGGGCAATGCAGTCTCTACATTTTTATTTTCTCTGTGCTATTTTCTGTTTTTGCCAGAAAATGTAAACTTCAAATGCTTCACTTAAAATGACCCATGATGCTTACACTCTACACTTGTTAAACCACAGACTGTGAAAAATTCTACATACCCATGTCACAAGAAATAAATCAAGGATTTGTTGCAGCCCTAATTTAAAATTATGCCAAAAATCATGTTTGTTGAAGAACTGTAATGATAGTACGATGATTGGTTAAGTTTTCAGAACATAAAGACATGCAAATTATATCAGCAGGCATATAGACATCCTATGGCAGTCATAAAAAAATCAAATGCATGCAAATTACATTTGCTTTATTTTAATCAATATACACATTACACATGTACTGTATATGTACATGCAATTGTATGACACTGAATTTAGGTATTGTTAAAATAATGCTTGTGAAATAGTAACAAACCATAAACTTCTGATGTGGAAAAAATGCATATTTTATCTTGACAACACAAATGGATATAATAAAAAACCTTAAATAAAAATAACTGGGTCACGTAACTGCTATACCTGTAATGAAAAGGTGGACAAGTAACAGTCAATCTGCTGGGCTCAGATAGGTGAATAAATCTGTAGTGTATCTCTTTCTACACACTAGTTTAACGGTAAACAAAATGCTAAATTTGCAGTCCAAATGACACTTGTTGATTAAAAAACGTTCTGTATTAGAATTGGAGTATACAAAGTATAAGCACTCCAGGACTTAACAGCAACAGATACTATATACAGTATACTGCACATATAATTATAAATATTATAAATTGCATATCTTAATTGATGTATTGTTTCTGTTATCTAATCTGAAACAAATCAGACAAAACATAAATGCCTTTAAAGTAACAATTAATTTCAAGATTCATTTCAATCTATCATCTTGCAATGCCTTATACACATGTAAAAGAGACTGAGTTAAGTCTTGATCCATTTACATACAGGCAAATTCCTTCTTTCACTGGAAGAGGAGGGGAGGTGCTCAGGAATACAACTGTAACTTCTGACTCCCACATGTTATAAAAGATAAAATTTTGTTGGCCATCAAGACAAGAGAATTCTCAAAAGTTTCAAAAGGTGCAGAACCTACATTTAATAAATTTCAGGTCCAAACTGTAAGAGTCACACTCACCCTCACTGATGAGCACTAGCAATGTTTATGGCAGCCTTTTACATCACCGTCAATAGAGACCCATTGACAGGAGACTCGGATCACCTGGTGACGTTTTACGACACACGTCCGTTCCAAGTGATTCAGAAGATAAGGACTCGGATGTGACAGGGCTCTATTATACTGTAGTATCTGCTGCTGAGATGGGACAAGCAGCAGACCTGTGAGGCGTGGAAAGAACCAAAATGCTGGGAAAGAAGCTGCTGAGGGGAAACCTGCAGGCAGCACGCAAAAACAAGGGCCTGCACAGTCTCGCCCCAGCAGTGGATTATCACAGTCTTGATCTTCTGAATCACCTGGAATGGGTGTGGTCGTAAATCATCTCCAGGTGATTCCCAGCCCACAGTAACCTGGGGTTGGATGGTGATGTAATTGGCTGCCGCCTCAATGCTAGCTCACCTTACTGCTCATTTGCAAGGATGAGCACAGCAAAAATATTCCCAATATCCATCCATTTTCTAATTGCTTCTTTCAGGGTCCCGGGGTAGCCGGAGCCAATTCCGACAAGCAATGGCAGAAAAGTTGGGATTTCAAATTTTATCTGCAACCTGTTTAGCTGGGGTTTTTCTTTCTAATTAAAGTTTTATTCAGAGCAGAATCTTGTTTATTCAGCAAAAAACTGAGAAAGAAACATCTTTCAAACATAAGTCTTCATTTTCATTCAACATCAGATATGATTTAAATACAATCATATGAAACCTCAGTTTGTATTAAAAAGTTAAATTTGGATTTCTTTTAATATGAGAGCCTTTAGTTGGTCAAGAGAGGCACTTGTTTGCCCTTAATAAAAGGTTAGATTTGCTTTTATGGCAGATATGCCATCATAAATCTATCTAACATCTTAATTTATTTTCCTGGCTAACTAACACTATCACTAACATAACAAACTATATATAAAGATAAAAACAAAAAACTTCCTAACAAAAAGAAACAATTTTGTAGCCAAAGCATATTACTATTACTATTAGGTGCTAAAACCTAATTTTAACAAAATCGGCAAAATAAGTTATATTTCTCAAAGACAAACCTACATGCAAGAGGAAGAATCACATTAGGAAACAAAATGCGCCAAGAAATTACTTGAAATGGTTTTACAGACAAAACCGTTCAGATCATACACATTGAAAAGACCAAAAAAAAAGACATAAATGGAAAAGAGCCATAAGCATGCTTCATGTGCACACAGCACAGCAAGATAAACAAAACCGCATACAAAGAAATACCAGTACACAAGATAAACTTTAGACAGCAAACATAATAAGAGAAATCGAAGCTTCGTACACATAGACCAGCACGATCACATACATGCATAAAAGTGGACGTCTGCAGAATGACAGTGAGCTAACAGTCTGAGGCCTAATTTACCTTCACTATCTGACATTGCATGCTGGAAGTCATCCATTATGAATGCGATATCCCGGTCATATCCTCTGGTCCTTGTATCTTCTCTCATGTGCTGCTGCACCTCAGGAAGAGAGTGGCTAGAGCCGAACTGATCCCTGGAATCAGCACAAATAGGAGGAAGGGGTCCACCAGAAGCCCGGGTCATACCCATTGGTTGTCCAACTGGGCTCAGAGGACTTTCTTCCTCTGAGTTTTGGGCCACAATTGGAATCCTCCCCCTGCTCTGGCTTATCGGTAGGCTGGACGGTTTTGTTCTTACTGAAGGTGATGGGTACGACACATCTAAGGGCTCGCTCTCAGTTTTCAATCTCAGAGATGAACTGGACGAATCTCTTTTGATTGAAAGGTCAAGTCCATAGACTGAAGAAGGCCTTGAAGAAGGTCTTGACCTGCTGCCGCTGGGATATGGCTTGTCCAGCTCATCCTGAAGAGAAGATCTCATAGTAGGGCCTAAATTCAGAGTTTGTCCAAGAGACTGTGCAAGGTTAGTTCCAAGTGTGGAACCCAAGTATTTCTGCTGCTCAGAGATATTTTTTCTCAGGCCAAAGGTAATATCATCCTGTAGTAATCTAGCTCTGGATGAAAGACCACTAACTGCTGAGGTGCTAGAAGGAAGGTAACTACTATAATCCGGCTCCAAATCTCTGCTTTCCTGTATGGGGGAAAACTTGGTAATTTTAGGGTCAATTAATGCTTTTTTATGTTTGGTTTGTTTCTGGTACAGCACAGATGATGGAAGCTGTTTGGCAGCTTGCTTTTCAAGTGTAAGTCTGCTGATACTGTACTTTTCAGACTTTGGAAAGTGTCTGTAACTGCTGTCACCATGGTAATAGTGAGGCAGTCCAGAGAGATGCTCCAGCCCTTCAGTCCCCCGACGGAACTCCTGCTTTATTTGCTGTTTCAGGAGTTTTAATTCATAAGGATCCTCCATAGGATCTTCTTCAGCTTTCCCATAGGTGTGCAGTCTGGAGGAAGTCTGAAGGGGGCCGAGGAAATCTGTTACCTCGGCACTCCTGCGCACCTCGGCCGCGCGAAGCAGACGGTCAGCCTTTGAGAGATCTTTGTCAGGGATGCTAAAAGTAGAAGACAGCCCTGTGGTGCCTTTCGTGAGTTCGCCAATGTCATCAATTAGGACATAGTTCCTGGGACCATGATGGTCAATATCTGCATAGAAGGAATCAGCAGATATGCTTGACATAGGGCTGCTAGCCATGCTGCTTCTCTCATCTAAACCTATCCTCAGGTCAAGACTGTTATATTTGCTTCCAAGGTGGGGAACTGCATACGTACTGTCAGTGGAAGAAGGTACAATCATGAGGGGCTGGTTGCGTATGACCTCATAGTTCGTGGTAATCTTTGGTTCCAGGTCAGCAAGGGTAGTCTGTCTTGGTTTTGACTGCATTAAAAGCATCTGTGATGGATGCTGGTAGTTTTGCTGTTGGGAGGCCTGAGGGTAAGACAATGTTGGCACGGAAGAGTAGCTGGACTGGGTTTGGTAAGGAGAAACTGGTTGATGGTACAGGGACTGCTGCTGGTAGTGAGCCTGTTGGGTATATTGAGAAGGGGCTTGTGTTGGCAGTGAAGGAGGTGCATATTGATACTGAGTATAAGGACTAGTGGGCTGGGCATACTGAGGTTCAGGCTGGGTCTGTGGTGGTATGAACTGATTAAATTCAGACTGCGGTGCAGTTCTTGGTCTTTCTAAACCATGTTGACTTTCCACCCTAGTCCCTCTGATGTTGCTTACTTCACTGTCCGACATATAATCCCGTTCTTCAGCAACACCCTGCAAATACGCCCTCTCCCTCTTCTCGCGCTCTTTCAGCAAAGCTTCTTTTCTCCTGTTAATGCCCATTTCCAGGTACCTCAACTTGGCATCAATTTCTTTTTCCTCCTCATCCAACTCAGCCTGCTTCTTTCGAAGCTTAGAAGACTCTCGCTCGACAAGGTCGAGCTCTCTGTCTATGTCTTGAAGGATCTTTGCTCTGGCCATTGTGTTTGTCCTGCAGATTCGTCTGCGCGAAACTGAACCTACTGTCGTATAACCAGACTGGCCCCCAGCTGTTTCCTCTTCAGGTGGTGGATTTGGAAGAGTTCGTTTAACTTTCTTTTGTGTGCCTGAAGGTGTACCACTCTGAGAGCCTTTGGTCTAGAAGAAAAAGGAATCATTGTAAAGTTACTGGAATGGTGTAATGCAGAAAATTCCACAGCTGCTTCACCAGCATGTGAAATTGACCACATATGATGCTACAGTACATCATAATCTATGACCAATCGACAGACAAAACTTTTAACAAACTGTGGGATGCACAGCTCAGAGTTTTCCCCAAGTATAAGTAAATAGGTATCATATGCAATTGATGAGGAAGTGCAGTAACAAAAGAAGCTTTATCCCAGGGAATAGATGTGACAGGGAATATCTGTGGTTGATTTAAAAATTTAAAGTTTGTGAAGTAAAATTCAACTACTAGGGAGCAACTACAGACAGTATAATTTACTTCACATCAAGTATCCCTAGATCCTTGGTGGCTCAATTTTCTTCAGCAAACTCAGCATTAGCTTTTTTAAATGCAACTCACATGAGCAGGATAACGTGCTCTAAGCCTGGAGCGTTCAAGCAGAAAACTGTTTTCTACATCATTGGGTAGAACCTGTATTAAAAATGCTACTCACATTTTTTTTTCTTCATTTTGCTCTCTGTTGGAACAAAGATTCTAAATCTATACATCTGTAGTAGACGCTCAGTGTTTCATTAAAAATGCGAAGCAAAATCTTTAGATTCTTTATTTATGTCATTAAAAACATATTTGAATAGAAAGATTTGGCGGCATTTCGGTTAGCTTCATTCATTTAGATGTACATTGCTTAATGCTTCATGTATTGATGCTTAAAATGTTTGAAACCAAAGATTTCAATATGACAATATGTATTTCAAAGATGTAGAAAGCAATTAATGTATTTTTTAATGCATAATACATAATAATTTGACAGATTGCAGAATTATGCTTCCAGTATTGTTTATGAATGAACCCTTGGTCTATTTTGCAAATGCACTTAAAATGTTATAATTAGGAAAGCAATTCCTACTGATAACATACTGACAATGTTATCAAGACACCAAAGAATTTATAAGGGACATTGTTATATCTGGTCTTACTAGTATTTCTTGGTGCAAATAAGCATTATGTTTGCGATTTAAAATAAAACTTTAGAAATAATGTTAACATCTCTACATACACGCATATACAGTAATTACACGTTAGAGAGCTCTAGACAGATATGTGAGACACCTCCCTAATTATCTGTATATTAGATTATTGCATGGAGAGAAATACAGTCGATCTGAATAACACCCAATCCATCTATTTACAAATCTTGCAGAGTAGGTGTTGCTGTTTTTTTCATCTTGATATTTTTTCATTTGTGGCACAACACAGTATTGTTGCATTAATACTTAAATAATAAAATACAGCAAATACATTAAATTAAAGCAACATGTAAATTAAGTATTCATTAGCACAAATAAACCATGTTTTGATCAGCTAAAGGAATTTCGATAAAGCTTTAGACTTTCGTAGTTGTGCATTACTTATGACTTGAATTGTGAGTAAATCTACAGTATTATGAATGGATGTGATTAATAAATGTATGAGCATAAGCTTATTGTAAATTATACCAGTGTGAATTGTTCACCGCCCTCAAGTGTGAATTTCATGCTAGTTCCAGACATCATTCAAGTATTTCCATGAATTTGCTACAGGAAAAGGACAACCAAATTTAAATCATTACTATAGACTTTTACAGAAGATACAGCAATGTCTTTCTAATAATCTGTGCCGCTTCCTTAAGCCTCTGGAATATTTTCTATAGACTTCCAAAATGCAATTACAGAGAATTAAGTAGAAGATCCACGAGCCTTTCATATTGACATTAGTAAAACCACTGTTACTTCATTGTGCATCCTAAAAAAAAACTTAGCACTCATAGCTTTGAAAAAGCGTTTAATACCGATGAATGGGAAAAATTATGAGTTTGTAGTAGTCTTTTTTTTTAAATGGAACATGAGAAATTATAAGAAATGCAAATACTACGGCTTCATTTTATTGGGTCTTTCCTATTAACCTTTATAAGGAAGCAACATTGTGCTCTGCTTTTGTTCTGCTTTGAAGAGGAAACCGTTGTCCTTTCTGGGGATCAACCAAAAATTCAAGGAGACTAAACCACAATATTTTCAGTCATTTCTGGTCATTATCCATAATGGCTACAGAAATTGATGAACAGCACAAGATTTCTGGATAATTAAGCAATAGATGAATATATGCATTTATCTCTCTGATTATGTACTCTGCTATATACTGTTCATGGTTCTATACAGTATAAATGCAAAATATATAAAATGCTCTATATTTCTATCTGCGCTTATTTATAAACAAGAAAACATAAAATACAGCATCCGTCTGCATACTTAACTATAAACACAAAACATATCTCAGTTACAGCATGCAGATTTTTTTGCCTGATCTTAAAAGGGGAAATCTGGTTCAATATTAAATACAAATAAAACATAAATCATACCAAAATATGCAATTACAAACATATTAGTGCAATGAAAGTGTATGGTAGTGCATCGCAGGGCACACACTGACACAAATATACACACACATTCAGACCAGGGTCAATTTTTCAGGAAGCCAATATACAGTACCTACCAACTCAATCAGGAACTCCCAGCCTCAGAACTGCATTCCATTGGTGCTTCCCTATCACCCTAACACCTTTTCTATATTATCTTTACGACAACTTCCCTAAGTTACAGGATGATCCCTCTACAGGTACCCTTTTTTCTGACCTCCCCATCATCTCATATCGCCAACCACCTTATCTGCCTAAATTTCTTTTTCACAGCTCCCTTGACCGCCCTCAGCAGTCATCCCCACCAGGCACTTTCCTCTGCAACAGAACTCGCTGCATCACCTGCAAATATATACTGATGGAAAAAAGAAACGCAACACCTCCTCCTCCACACTCTGGCCCTCCCGTCTCAAGGAACAGGCTTCACTCATCCGTGAAGAGGATCTGATGCAACTGCTGACAAGTCCATCACAGCCTCTGTCTGGCCCGAGCCAGTCGGGTGTGACGTCTAGGAGGTGTGAGCAGAGGGCCTCTGACAGGTCACCTTGCTCTAAGGTCAGCAGCATGGAGCCTCACTGTCCTGTCACTGATGCTGGCACTGGGTCTGCCGGCGGTTTCGGCAGCAGTACAGGTGGCAGATCTGAAACGATCTCCCAGATAGACCAGTCTGATGTGTCGTACTGTCTTGTACTGGTGTGGTACCTTAAGGGTGACTGGATCTTGGATGGTCATCTGTCCTGCTGGAACCTTCTCTGCAGTCGGGACACAGTGGAGCAGCTTCCTCCATAGTGTCTGGCAACGCTGGCACATGACATGCCTGCCTACAGCATGCCAATGGCCCTCTCCCTTGCTTCTGGTGACATTCGAGCCATTATGGAATGAACTGAAAACTGACTAAATGTGGCCTTTTTCTAAGCTTTGAATTAAGACCTTTTTAAAGGTGACCTGATCAGGCATTGTTCCACCTGCACCTTGTTGGGTAAAAGTGCACCTAACGAGCTTTCGTATGACTGGCAAGTTGCAATGCCTCACTGCACAAGCTGTATTGCTGGTCAGAGGGCTTAAAACAAATTGACAACTTTCTGTGAAGGAACAGAAGTAAGAAAACACAACGTTTCAGCTGTGGAGCCTTCTTTGGGTGTTGGTCTTAAATTCTCCCAGTAAAATTTTACAACTGCAACACACAAGCTACCAAGAAACTGTTAATTGATTTTAAAAGATTATATACGTAATTAAGAGTGATTCATTGTGTAATCCAACTAGAGTAAATACATCAAGATTATTTAACAGCTGGTATTTATTGTGTTCTTCTCCAAGCTCCACAGCCGAAACGTTGTGTTTCCTTACTTCTCTTTTCAGCATGAAATAAACCTATTAGTTGTTCCGTTGCAGCCTACACCTGCTGACGCAGCTCCCATACCTGAACTACTTCAACTTTTTGTGAAAGTTCATAAGCTATAACTATAGTATTCTCATGCCAGAAAATGTTGCGTTTCTTTTTTCCATCACTATATTTCCAATACCACGCTCATTCAAGGCCCCTGTGGACAATTCCAGATCACTCACATGTCGTCTTGTACCTACAGCAACCTTATTTTTTTGCATCTCTTGCAGAAAATGCCCACCAATCTACATTGGGGAAACAGGAGGGAGACTGGGAGACCACCTTAGAGAACATGTCAGGGCTTTGAGAATCAAAGACTTCTCCAAGCCAGTAGTTTCTCATTTCACCTCTAACGGCCATGATCACAGGGATCTCTCCGTCTGCATTCTCAAAGAAGGGTTTCTCAACTCCTACTGCAGGAAGGCATCCAAAACCAAAATTATCCTGAAAATAGGACCACAGCTTCCCCCTTCTCTCAACGACAGACTCCTTCTCCTTCTAATGCTCTCTATTCATTGGCAGGTTTTGACTTCACACCTCTCTTCACCTCTCTCGACTTCGCACCACCTGAGTGCCCACTCTGCCTCCCCCTGCTCCCACCCCGTCCCCACTCCCGGCTTTTGTTCTCCCATGATACTGTATATCTGTAGCCGATTATCCTCTCTTTCTTACACCCGAAGAAGGCTCCACAGCCGTTGTGTTTCTTTTCTTCTCTTTTTAGAATAAACCTTTACTTGTTCCTTTGCTACCTAACAATATGTCTTTGTACTGTGGGAGAAAAATGGAGCACCTGGAGCAAACCTATGCTAACCTGTACAAATGTGTAAAGAACATGCAAACTACACGCAGATAGCACCCCAGGTCCTGTGACTGGAAGGTTGCTGGTTCAAATCCTGCAGCAAGCAGAGGAATCCTACTCTGTTGGGCCCCTGAGCAAGGCCCTTAACCCCAGCTGTTCCAGGGGTGCTGTACAATGGCTGACCCTGTGCGCTGAAGCCAAGCTTCTCTCCCTGTCTGTGTCTCATGGAGAGCAAGCAGGGGTCTGAATGCAAGAAATTGTATTGGGCTAGTAAAGCAACATTACATTAATTGTATTCCTTTTTATGTTTTTTTTTAATTATCTAGGTGTTCTAAATTTGATTATGTAAATAGAATATGAGCAAAATTCCTAAAAATGTATCCAGTTTGCATGACAGACACATCTGTTCATGCAAACTGGTTAAAAAAAACAATACAGTATTAATAAAAAAAAAAACATACAGTATATATTTTATTTGGAATAAAGATCTCACCTGGTTGTTTTCATTCCACATTAGCTTAATTATTGAATTGAAGCCTTACTTGAACTGACGTACTGCTGGACTGGGATTTTCCAAGACTGTTCTTTTTTTCTTAAACGTGGGGGGTTTGGTTTTACTTATGAAATGCAGTAATCAAAAGCTAGCCTCCACCTTTTGATTTAAGAGCAAAAAAAAAACAACAGGTCACATTAATCCTGTGATTAAGTCAGCTGAGGGTTCCATTGTGCAACTGAGAGTCAGGCTGGAACAAGAAACAGCAGTTGGGTAAACCTCCAGGACCAGGATTGTGAGCTTCTGGGTTACTGCATGCATTTATACTGCTGTTCTTTCACGTGTATTCTTCTGTTCAATTAATAAGAATAAGATGGAGAGCAAATGGAGGGAGGTAGCTTTTCTGAGTCTGGACTCAGTGTGGTGGCACGGAGAAGACTGCTATCTGAGGTTGGCAGTGAGGCCTTACAGAGATGATTTTGACTGTAGACAACCACCTAATACACCTGCTGGGTTTCATGCCATCCTCTCTTAATTAGATAATTGAAGCCTCGTCGGATCTAAGACGTTGCTTCATTGGAATATTTGAATTTTGTTTCTTATCACGTGTTTGGGAAGTTATTTCACTTACAAAAATAGAACAGGTAGAGCAACTTATTTAAGAGCTGTTCAAAGGAGTCTTACTATTTATAAGTCAGTGAAGGGTTTGACAGTGTGACAGAGGGCTCGGCTGGAACTGAACCTACAAGTGTGGGTTACCAGGACCGAGAGTGGGAACCACTGACCTCTTGTATTCCCAAACTTGAAATTCGGTGTGATTTCTACCTGTTTTTTGTGTTGGTCTTAAATTCTCCCCGTAAAATTACATGACTGCAACACACAGGTTCCCAAGAAACTGTTAATTGATTTTAAATGATTATATATGTAATTAAGAGTGATTCATTGTTTAATCCAGCTACAGTAAATCCATCAAGATTATTTAACAGGTGGTATTTATTGTGCTCTCCAACACTTACTGTATTGGAGGACTTTCCTCATAGAATCAAGTAGACAGATCAGGCATGGCTCTTTTAAAAAGTACATTAAGTGGCTAATTAAAGGCACAACAATAGCTTACATCTCTTTTAATTAAGGCCTTCGTTACAGCCAAATATGCAAGTGTCTTATCCCAAGGATGCTGTGTCAATTTCTGGTTAATGTTTAAATTAAAACGTGTCACCAAACATGCAAATCATTAATTATTTAAAAATCCTCTTCACTCTAGTATGTGAAGGCAGAAATTCTTCACAGGAACCTCTGCAACCTGTTGTTAAGAGGTTTTACTTGCTGTGGGCAAATTAACCTCCTGGAGAGCTAACATCTCCAGTATAGAGAGCTAAGCATTAGGTGGCATAACACCACACCTGAAGAAGGCTCCACAGCCGAAACGTTGTGTTTTCTTTCTGCTCTTTTCAGCATGGAATAAACCTATTACTTGTTCCTTTGCAGCCTACGCATGCTGACGCAGCTCCCAACCTGAACTACCTTAGGCGGCATAATACTAGATCTATCCTTTTCTGAAAACTGAAAATAAAATAACAGCATATTTCCCAAGAAATGAATGTTGTGTGATGATGCCACAGTATATTACGAATTCTAAATATTAGAAATGGCAAGAATTGTATCATTTGAAATGAATCCCTAGAATGATGGACCAGATAATGTGAGTGTTGATGGTTAAGATAAAGAACAACTACCACATATGTATAACAACAATGTTACATGAATTCTCTGTCCCATTCATGTCTGTCATTTATGAAAATTCTACATTCAAGTTTCACTGCTTTCGCCAAGTCAATGATTTTATAATCTGGACATTAATATTAACAGAACACATCAAGAAACAATGAGATCACTGAAACACTGCACATGAAATGAGCGACAGGCAGCTGAAAGTGATTATGAGAGAGGATCTGTGATGAGTGTTAGGTGGGATTAGTATGACAGATGAGGGCTCCCTCATCACTCATATACACAGCACTCCCTGCAGGCTTGCTGGTGCAGCTACAAGACTTGACTCTCCTCCAGGTAAAAAAAAAATTCAGTAGCATGCGAGTCAATGAGGTACGAAACAGTTCAAGCTTCAGTTTCCTCATTGTTTGTAATAAATTCCATTTAATTGGACAAACTAATAAATATTTTGGCACTGTCTGTATCTGACTTAATTCTTTTACACTTGAACATATTTGCTAAAGCTAGTTTTCAGCAATAAATGCTGCATAAATGCTGTACATCAAACTGCCACCCTTCTTTTTTATACTGTCAATCAGCTGCTTAGACTGTATTGCTGATATAATCAAGAATACATACTGATTGAAAGTGAACAAACACGTCTTCTTGTATTTCATTAAACCTAGTGGAATTCTATTTTAATACTCAAGAATATAGCCTTAAGGATTTAGTAAAGGTTTAATAATGCTCATGTGTTTTTATGGAGAAAGACATCACATATCAAATGTTTTTAATCAACAACTATAAATATCTATATACTGTATATTTTAAATTGAATAAAGGCTGTTTTTCTCTTTCTAATCATACAATCACAGTAATGAATTCTGAATTGGACTGAGAATTAGCCAGATAAAAACCTTCACAAAATGTTCATAATTAGAACAAAATGAATGCAAAATGTTTTGAATACTTCTAATAAGTATAGAACAAACCACTGAGCACTACGCCTACTTCAAAGTGTGTGAGTCAGATCTGGGATAAGGCTCTTGGGCTATGATTCATTATGTACACAATCCACTGCCACATTCTTAACTGCAAGAAGAGGGAATTCAGATTATACAATTATATTTTATCTAGCCACTTATTCTGCCAATAAAACATGTTATGACTGAAGAATACGAATATCAGTCGTGTGCCAGGTGATATGTCTGTATTCAAGATCAAGGTCACACCTGCATATTTTGCTGAGGTAATCAGATTAATTAGTGGACACCATAAACTAGTGATTATGACTCTTAACCCATGACCAGACTTCTCATGTGTCCAAATTCTCACTGAGGACACTGCCGTAGTATTTTTCAGTTAGAAACTTCACCCCTATTAAACCAGTCAGAAACAGCTGTGTAAATGTACAGTATACTGGCATCTTCATGAGGGCTTTATCTGTAAAGAACAAGTGCCCTAACTAGTTTTGCAGTTGCAAAATGCGATGACTTCAGACCTATTAAACCTGTGAAGAACCCTAACCTTATTTCGAAGAAAATCTGTGGTCTGAAATTCACAAGGAAATATTAATTCTGTCAACATTTTGTCAGGCCATATTTTAAACCAAAATGAAAAGAAGTTACAGCACATACATGGGGCATGTAAACATATTTAAAAAGAATACAAAACAAAGCCGGGCAAAATCAACCAAATTTGAAGCTTGTATGTGATAGACAACCCAGTGAGATTTTACAGCGGATTTGACTCTTCTAATTGCTATGAGTAAGGTTAAGCCTTCACAGGAACATCTCGACACAGTTTTAATTCTGTTACACCAGAAGGGAGGTAGGTGTCAAGATAAAATTAGACTTTCCAAGAAAGAAAATAGAATATTCTGTTGCATTTAAACCTACACATATCTAAAGTTATTCAGGATATCATCACGCCATCTGCTGTACCTTTCCCCTTTGTGTACATTGATAGATTTTATATTCAACGAAAATGTACAATGACCCTTGTGTACATAATACCATTATTATAACATAATGATCTAGGAGTATCCTAGCACCACTAGTTAAGGAAAACCAAGCCTTGCTTGAAAAGAAACTTACCGAGTAGCCATCCGAATACTGGAAATTAGTTCTTGTACTTTCATCTGCTGTAGGGCTCAGTGGCTTTGGATCAGACATCGATCGTTGCATCATCTTCATTGTTCTTGGACTAGGGGGAGGTTGTTTAGATGTTTCTGTACTCGACATTTTTTGAGGACTTACATCACCAATGGATTTCTCATAGGGAACAAATTCCAACGATTTACTGGGGGACAAGGGGGAGATGGGAGAGTAGAGAACCTTGGGAGATTTGGGAGGGGATGGAGCAACTTGAAGAGAGGAGTCTGCTTTCAAATGGGTGGAATACCCTATCTCCAAGGGAGTTGGACGCTTCTTATCTTTTTGAGGAGATGTCAGATATTGGCCAGCCTGTTTATCTGAGTCTGTTTCTGTCTGGCAGCTTAAACTTCCTCCTTTATAGGTTTTCTCTGGTGCAGAAATATGCTTAATGATTTCTACCTTGGCATCCATGTGAGCCTTAACTGAAGGCCTCTTGATAGTTCCTACAGGCTCTGTCTGAACTGATATCTCAGCTACAGTCTGGATTGCAATACTGGACACTTTAGAAAGCGGTTTAACCTTGCCAGTCTCAGAGCTGCCTTCAGAGTACTTGCTTGAACGGGATCTGCGCCTTGTCCTCGTGGGGATATCCCACTCATCTTGATCCTCATCATCTGTCTGAACACTGGTGTCTACACTCTTCTTATTTCTCTTTCTCCTCCCTGTGTAAGATCTGTCTACGCCATCCTCATCATCGGTTTGTACTCCACTGTCTACAATTTTTTTGAATGATCTGCTCTCATCAGACAGTTCTGTGCCATGCTCATCATATTCTCTATGAGACCTTGGTATTCTTTTCTTAAGCTGCTGCTCCTCTTGAATATCAGCATCTTTTAACGGCATTTCAGAAACAGACCCGGGCAAGCTAGGGATAAACTGAGCAATCCCTTCTGTGGGCACCGTGTACCAGGTTGGGTTTTGCTGAAGCTCCATGCCTGTCACAGCCGAAGATGTTGAAGTTTCATCCTTTACGGGCCAATACTGACCCGTTTCTCCACCTGTATATTGTGAATCCAGCAGTGCCTGTTCTGAAGTTGTCTGTGGGGAAACGCTTCCAGATGGGTCATAGCTATATTGGTAGATCTGCCGAATTTTCTGTTCTTCCAGTTGCTGCTGGAGTTGATGCTGCAGCTGCTGAATCTGTTCCAGCTGCAGCTGTTGCTGAGCAAAGGTTTCCTGCTGCATCATCAAATGCGCCTGCCGCTCTTCCTCCTGCTGGAAGAGCAGGTGGTGCTTCATGGTCTGAAGCTCCTCTAATTCCTTTTGGACTATGAGCTTCTCCTGTTCACGGAACCTCTGGATCTCCTGCCGTTCCCACTCCAGTTCCTCCGCAAGGCGCAGCTGCTTCAACTTCTCGAGTTCCAGGAGCTCACGCTCCATTTGAAATTGCTGTTGCTTCGCGTCATCTGCAGCCGAGGTGATTGGAGAGGCCAAGGCTTCCAAAGACGATGCTATCGCTTCTAGTGATGCATCAGTGTAGGAGTCGGTAGCTGTCGTGACTGCAAGAGCCACGTCACTCTCTGCCACAGGCAGCCCCTCCTTTGTTGCACTCAGTGCATTTGTTTCCAGATTAATAATGCCTTCGCCCTCAGCAGCTGTGGTTGTTAAGAAACTATACGACCTTGGAAGTGGCTGGTTCTGAAGAGTTGAAAGGGATGGCATGGTGTCACTTGTATGCATTCCTGACAAATCTTTGTATGTTGTACTAAATATTGATCCCGGCTGAGTAGTGATGGCAAATGTGGTTGGAACTGGAGCTGCTACAGAAGAATATACAACCCCATTCGAAGATCTTAAGACACTATTCACACCATAGTGTGTACCAGCTGTGGGAGTGATTCTGGCTTGAGAATATTGTGGAATAGTCATCCCAGTTCCCGACATTGCTTGTCTTGTCTCTGCATACTGTCCTGCACTCTTGCTTGAATAGTCCATAACTTCACCTGTAATCATACGTTCATAAACATATCTCAGTCCTTTATAAACAACGGATTTTTTACAAGTGTCTTTGAAAGCCATGCCATCCACATAGGGAAAACCAAAAGAGCATGCATGCACAATCTTCAGGGTGACCGAATTAGCAAGATGCGGAGCAAAAACATTGCGGAATAACATGCAGGCACATGCAAGCACCTGTGTGCAAACGAAAAAAGAAAGAAAAAAGAAAAAGGGACAAAAAAATGATATAAATAACAAAGCATATTTTTTATACGTCAAAAAATTGAAATGACCAAAAAAGAAAAAATTAAATGGGTATGACATGAGGAAATCCGTGATATTCATATTTTAATGAAAGATCGGTTGCTTTGTCATACTGACCTGAAGACAGTCTTCCAGATGTGAGGTCTACCGCACCCTCTGCCACTCCAGCTCGATAGTCAAAACTATTCTTGCTTTTATATAGAAACAATCCAGCCTCAGCTAAGTTAGTGTCAGACATGGAGGGTTTCATACTGCCAAAACTGCGTATGCCATAAGGTCCAGAACGATCATACTGGTAGTGATCATCTCTGTAGCCGAAACGGTCTTCGGGCAGAGTGGTTGCTGGCTGTTGTGATGTACAGCTTCTTCCGAAAGGAAGCTTGTAAACAACGTCACAACAAACAGCCCTTCTTCCCGCAGTAAGATCCACAGGCTTCTCCTCATCTTCTATTACAGCTGTAACCACCTGTGAAGTGGATTCATCGACAGTAACCATAGTTCGAACAGGCTTCGCTGTGCTTAGGTCCACTGCACCAACCTGTACAGAGTCCAAGCTTGTGGAGACATCAATGGAGCCATTAGTTATGCTTGCTGGAGAAATAGTGACAGGTTTTGATGTTCCAGTGCTTGTTGATGTTCCAAATGAAAGATTTATAGGAACCTCTGAACTGGTAGTTGATGTGGCCTGACTATCTAAAGGTCTGTAAGTTATCTGGGCTACTGGTTCAAAAGATTTGGATGTTGTCAGTTGCAAAGGCATTGACATACCATAACCAAGGTCCAAAGGTCTTTCACCTGCAGTGCTGTATGTTATAGTAGCAGTACAGGTGACAATTGTTATGCTTTCAGTCACAACTGCAAGAGTGGACGCTGGTGTCGATCCTGTACTCAAATTGACAACAGTTGGCTGAACAGCACTAATCTGTCGCCCGCTACTATCGCTTGAGAAAGACTGGCGTCTGGAATCTGAAGTTGATAAATCCATCCCTTTGTCAGTCATTTCCACATCAAGCTTTGTTAAAGTACGAAGGTCGATGACATCTCCAGAAAGTTGCATCTTTCCGTTTTCCTTATGCTTTGGTTTGGTTGTTTCTGGAGGAATGGTAATGGCAACACTTGCGGCTTTTGTGGTAGGTATTCTTTCACGGACAACAGACACCGTAGTCCTTTGAACTTCTGTGGTGACAACTTGTGCAACCACCTTAGACAAAGACACAGGAGGTTGTGCTGAGGTTGAAATTGATGAATAAACATGACTCATGCTTGAAATGTATTTATCGGGCCCAAGTATTTCTTGGCTTTCTATCGACTTTGTATACTGAGCAAATGGCATAGACAATGATGTGGTCGTTTGCGTCTGCTGTTTAGCTGGAGAACCTAATGCCTGAATGATGGGAGCTTGAGTTGTAATGGACTCTGTAGGAGTGCTAGGTTCTGATGGCAAAGTGATCACCACGTATGTTTCATGAAGAGAGTTTGTATACCTTGGAGAGGACTTATTTGAGTAAGGTGACATAGGGGATGTAGGTGATGCCAATTTGCACTCAGCTGGGAAACTCAAATTTAACGTCATTGCCGTGGTGCTTGGTGGACCTACAGGTCTTGCTTGAGTAACTCCGGGGCCTTGAGTTGTTAAAGGAGGTTGGGAAACAACTGGTTTTGGGGCAATAGGAGGCTTAACACCATCCACTGTTTTGTGACTGAACATCAAACCTGCTGGAATGGATGCAGGCTTTGGTGGTACAGGAGGAGGTCCAGGTATTTTAGAAGCATTGACCACTGTGTTCTTTAATGATGTACTTGGGCCTGTGGTTGTTATAGTGGCTTGCGCAATGGTAATTGCTGATGACACTGGTACGGGGGCAACAGATGACATGACTGCAGGAGAGGAAACTGAAGGTTTCTTTTTGGGGTAAACAGATGGCTTAGGCAGAGTGGGAGGAGGCAAAGGTGGGGGAGGAGGGGGAGGGGGAGGAGGTGGCATCATAACTGGCAAATCTGCAGACTCCTGAGATGGGGTTTTGAAAAGGGAGAAGGCCTTGGAGGTAACAGGTGTGGCAGATGTTGCTGGTGGGAATTTGGAGAGAGTGGTAGGGATAGCAGTAGAAAAGGTTGTAGATACAACAGGAGTATAGGTGGGTACAGTGGATAAGGGTGACACACCCACAGCAACAGACGATGCAGAACTAGAAAACGAACTAGGCAAGGAAGAAGGGAGTGAGGGAGTTTTACTAGCAGATTCAAAAACAACCCGAGTGGCAGTAACCAAGGCTGAGCTTGTTACTGCTTCTTTCTGCTTCACATGCTCAGTAACCTCCTGACTCCTCACAGTCTCCTGTGGTTTGCTTACAGATACTTCTCTCATCATGGGAGTAACATCTGTGGAACTATCCAAGCTAAGCATAGAAATAACAACATGCCCCTGAGCAGACTGCACTTCTGTGGCAACAATGGAAGGGACAGCTTCCACACTGGAAACGCTAGTTGAACTTGAACATGGAATATCTTTCGAAGAACTCAGTCTGGTTTCTTGAATAGGGCCAGCACCGGCTGATGTTACAACAGATGAAGGCTTTGACATAGATGATATGTCAACTATCACAGAGTGCGTGGAATCAGAAGTTGTGGTCACCACAGTAGTAATATGGGGGGAATGTTTTGCAGCTCTCATTTCTGTTGTTGTCTGGTATTCTGTAGTTGCTTCTTGTGGGAGTGTTGGGGCAGCAGGCATTACAGATGTTGAAACTGCAGTAGTTTTAGTAAGAGGGATTTCACACACAACTGAGGTGGGGCCTGTCAATATAATGGGAACTGTAGGTGTGGATGTAGATGTAGTACATGTAACTGGTACTTGTTGCCTTATGTCTGCAGTCTGATCAACAGGAGGAACACCTGAAGGTTTAGCCTTTTGGAGCCCTTGATCTTCTTCAGTACTTATTAACTCTTCTTCAAAATCTTCTTCCAGTGTAAAGTGCTGAGTAATCTTGACATCAGGAATGGGGTACATTGTGCTGCTTACTGAAGTTTCTGTAGTAGCTGTGTTTTCACTTCTAGTATGGGTTGACACAAAAGGTTGTTTACAAGTCGTTCCAGTGAAATCTTCAATTGGAATCAAGGTCAGCTCAGGTGAGTCATGCAATTCAGGGGTCATTTGTGTGGGGCTTGTTCCAGGTGTCAGAATCGTTCTTTGCCGCTTCATAAGTTCTTCATATGCCTCATCAGCATCTAACAATTTTTTCTCATCTTTTGATAAGTCTACTGTATCACTAATGGAGACAGACACATAACTTGCCTCGCTAACATGAGATGGTAAAATAGTGTCTTGTTCAGATGTTTGACTTGATGGCTGTGAATAACAAAGTTCATTTTCTTTCAGGAATTTCTTTTTCTGCATCATTTCTTCATAAACCTCGTCAGGGGATCTCAGTTTCTTTTCAGGTTCTAGTACTAAGTTTTTACTCGTTTCTTCTTGTTGCACCAAATAGGTGTTGGGTACTGTTTCACTATATGTGTCTTCTACTAATGACTCATAAATATAATCTTCAATTAACATACCCCCATACAGTGGCTCCTTCTCAGACATTTCCTCCGTTTCATTCCGACTTTGAAGCATTTTAGCCTTTTTCATCATTTCTTCATAAACTTCATCAGCACTTTTTAGGGATCTATCAGTCATATCTTTGGTTATAGAAACATGTTGTTCATCAGTAGGGGAATATAGTGACACACATGTTGGCAGCTTGTATACTTTCTGAACTGCTAGGATTTTCTCTGGATTGATTTCAAACCCTTCAGGTTCAGACTCGATGCTTGGGGAATATTCAGAACAAGACGATTTATGGAGTTCTTCCATTTCCGCTGCTTGCCTTAATTCCTCTGTAGGGGAGGCATCTTCTATTGGAGAAAGGTTGCTTGGAGGGGTCTTGGGGCGTTCACGTCTCCTCTGAGCTCTGAGCTCCTCCTTATCTTTCTTCGATTTCTTGCTGGAGCTCTTCCTCTGCTGCTGTTCCAGCTCCCGTTGTTTTTCCTGCTCCCTCAAAAGTTCCTCTTCCTCACGCATCTCCTCTTCTTCAGAAGAGTCCTCGATAGTTGGGAGGACTTGGCCATGTGCTCTGTGCCTTGCCTTTCTCTGTTGTTTGCTCTCCCCGCTCATTTTCTTATGGCTTGGACTGCTGTCACTGTCTTCATCAAGAGAAGACACAGATGTAGGCGATGTGCCAGGTGTAAAACTGGATGCATGCAGGCTGGAGGAACCTTCACCTCTAGACCTGTCCTCTGGAGAATCAGTTAAGCTCTCCATTTCTAACTCTGGTTCCTCCTCATAATTCTGTTTGTCAGATCCTTCTTTATATGGGGTAGCAGTGGTACTGTTCAGTTCAATTGTTTTGAAACGTCGGAGACCTCCTCCACTTGAAAGGGAGAGCTCCTCACTCTCTTGACTTTTGGTTTCTCTTAGCTTGGACTCGGGAGTCTCGTCATACCCTTTTTCCTCCTTTTCGTGCCATGAATGCCTTCTTCCTGGGTCATCCTCATGGCTGGCGCTGCTTTTTTTGGTAAGTCGTTTGGCTTTTCCTGATATACTTTTCCCTTTTCCTCTTCGTTCTTCTTGTTCCTTTTTCTGCTCTGCACTCAGCTCCTTGATTTGAGTTCGTATGTAATCATCGTCGTCAGAAGCGGAGGCATCCTCGTCTGCACTCATTTCTATAATCTGTTTCCGAATAAAATCTTCTTCATCGGCTGAGCCTTGGCTGTCTTCCTGTTTGTAGTCATCACTACTTGATGATCCCATACTAAGCCTTCTTTTTCTTTGCAGAAGAGGAGACGGTTCACTTTCACTGCTGTCTTCGAGAGAGTCATAACGTTGCCTCCTTACTGAGCCTCCTTCCTTGGACTCCTGAGTTTTTTTGCTGTCTTTTCTAAGGGGTGATTCACCCATAGTATCCTCTTCAAGAGTTTCCTCATCTTCCTCTTGGATGTCTGCAAGGTCCTCTTCATCTGAGCTATATGATTCAGGTGTTATTGGTAACGTTCTAGCTCTATGCTGATTCCTTTCCTCATCACCATAAAGGCTGTAGTGATCTTTCAATTGGCCTGCCTTCTCAATTGTGCTTGCCTGGGCTTCCAAAATTGAAAGCACGGTGCTCTCTAACTTTGCCAAATCTGAAGGACTTGTAGGGCTGCTTTCTTGTGCAACCTTATCCTTTCGCGTAGGCTCTTTCAGCAGTTCTTTTTCCTCACCTGGTGCAAGATTAGGAATTTCACCTAACGAACTTGAGATGCCATCTGAAGAATAGCCCGTATCACTCAAGCCTTGAGGACTCTTCTGCTGTGAAGAACCAGATGTGTCAGACCTGTCCTCTTCTTTTTCCTATAAAATACAAGACTCCATTCAGTCACCAACACTTTCTAAGCATTGATAAGTCATTACAATGTGTTAAAATAAAAATGATTGCTAAAACGATTGGATATTTTAGAGATTTATGTAGCTCTTCCTTTAAATCCTAAAACGGAGAATTTCCACTTCCAATTACAGTACATGCCAGATTTTAATGTTATCTACATTCTTTACAAATGTGTCTCAAGCACCTTCATTCATTCACAGACTTTATGTAGCCACAAAAACACAAATAATATATCGCAATGAAAACTGCACAATTTGTACATAAACGCTTTGTGGCATTACGCGGGGACGTGTCCAGTGTGGAGGCGGAGCCCTGGTAGAAGGGCGATGCCTCGCCTTTGTAGTCCCAGCTGCCTGGGCTCCCAGCTGATGAGCCCCGGCTGGGCAGGTCCTATAAAGACAAACTGGACACCCCCTGATGGGACGAGCAGGGTCATCCCCGGAAGGGGGGAGTTTTCACCGACAGTCCCGGAGGGGGATTGCACCCGCCTAAGGTTTTCTTTTTCTGTTCATTTCTCTTTGTGCCTGTCCCATCACGCACTTTCACTGGGGCAGGCATACACACACATTATTGTTCCGCACTCATATCTTGTTTTGTTTTTGCCTCACACACCCTGCTCACCAGACTGGACCCCGCTAAATAGGGTCAGTCCAGCCTGGTTATCGCTGAGCTTGTGGCTCTTTTTTTGCCCAGGCTGGCCCCCATGAAATAGGGTAAGCCCAGCCTGGAAGTAACACAGCACAGCGGTACTCATTCGTTTTGCTTTTTTGTTGCTTTCTTCCACTCTTTTTGCAATTATTTTTGGTCCCTGCTAACCTTATATCGGTGCTTCTGTCCCCTCATCTGGGGCCTTGACTTTTTACTGGTGCTAGCCGCGGCGCCTCCCATTATACAGTACACTGTCACAGCATGGTTTATGATATAACACCCAAATAATTTAAAACAATGATAGCCAAACACTGTGAAGTGGTACTTACAGTTATCCAAATAGAAAACATTATTATCTATATCATGAAACCTCTACATGTCTCAAACAATTACTGATCTCCAATAGGTGCTATGGCTACTATCTTAAGCTGTAGGCAAAGGCTGGGAGTTTTAAATGTTAGGCATGCCAAATTATGCTCCCATCATCAGCACAGTGGGCTTATAGCCGGTGATTCGTTATTCTTCTTAATTATTCTAAATGAAAAAGTATCATGTTTTTAATTCATGCTTGATTCCTTTCCAGCATGTGTTTTAGCTTTCGTGTACAACTAGGGAAGTCATTGCCTTTTCTTTGATGCTGGGATAAAACATAGCCGCATGGATTGTATTGATCTTACTGATGATCTAAAACCAGTTCTGAAAAGTTTGTGATATTACTCTGACTGTACTGTTATTTAATGTGGTTAATATTTGGACATCATATTAAAGAACTATTTAGGTTGTGAAAATTAATATTCAGAGATGTTAAAATTTGTCTTGTCTGTCCAAGCCTTGTTTTGCTGTTGTTCCCTGATATTTAGGAAAAAAATATAATTGTTTATTTTTAGGATAATCTAAAACTGTTAATTAATACAGATAAACACAGAACCCTTCAATGACACTAGTGGAATGTCTCAGTAGTTAAGTCAATGTTAAAATAATAATACATGTTTAAAATAAATGTTTTCGTTTTAATGTACAGTATCACATTATAATTCTAATGTATTACTTACATGTACAATCCAACAGTGTTATATTTTTGTTTCAACTTATATATCCGCCTTCTTCCCAGAATAACTGTGAAGGCTCTGATTATTCTTTTTTTTTTTTTTTAAAAACTAGACAGTATTGTAAAGTGTTACAGCTAAAACATTTTCTTAGTTTCTGTTCTGGAAATAAAAATCTGACTGTCTTTGAGAATGGAACTGCACCATTATTCTGGCCCAAGTGACCAAACACTTACAGGCTTCTCCTTCACAGTTTCCACTTGAGCGGGCTTTCTTAACGGTTGTGCTCCAGGTCCAACTTCTCCCATTTCTTTTTTCTCTTGAGGTTTAGACAAAGGTTTATCTTCAAGGGCTTTAGCAGAACTAACTTCGACCTTCTTACTAGCGTCCAGAGATATAAAGCTTTCTTCCGCTTTCTGAATCAGCTGCCCAGAAATACCCGTTATCTTCGTAATTGTGTCTGATTTAGGAGAAGGGTCTGCTTTAGCCGCCTTGGGTTTGGAAGCTTGATGTTTCACTTTTTCATCTTCCTTTTTTAATGCTTGCACACCATTTCTGGGCTTCTGGAGTGGAACTTTGTCCATGGAAGGCTTCCTTGTCAGTTGCTTAGTGGAAACTGTGTCTTGCCTGCCTACAACAGGATCACTAGTTAGTCCTGCTTCTTGCGGGTCTTTTTGCTGGTCTTCAGCAAGTTTAGGCATGGGTGGCTCAAATGGCTGAGATGTGCTCTTCTGTAGTGATGGCTGCTTTCCAGGAGGTGGCTGAGTTTTGGGTGTGGGAGACGGCTGAGCTGGTTTCACTGACATAGGCACTGGAGGGGGCATTTTTCCCATGTCTCCAAGCTGGCCAGCTAGAGCCCTTTGTGTCTGACAGTTCAAGCAAAGCCATTCTTTCTGTAAAGAAATACAGGGGAAAAAGCAAAACAATTACTATTTTTTAAAGAAACATTGTAGATTTATGGGGTAAATAACAGCTTTCATAGGATGGCATACAGAGAATTAATTATACTTTACAGAGATTTCTAATCTTCGCTTCAAAAGTGGCATATGCAATATACGCATACTTTAGTTACATTTTCTGAGATTTTTGCTTTCTGTTCAAACGTCACAAAACTATACTGTACATTGCACAGCGGGCTGTAAAGGCCTTCTTATATCAGCGACTTTAATAATTTATTGATTGCTCTGCCAGTCAAAAATAAGAGCACTATTGTCAGTATAAAATCTAAGGAAGTAATAAAATATTTTAATATTTCTGCAAAATCAATAGACAACTGAATGGTAATGTACTCTGCGTTCTTACTTAACCAGAGTAGATGAACAATTGCCTATTGCTTTTAACACTGAACCTGTTATAGCTATTTTAAACGGCTTTTCAGCACATTCCCTTACAAACAATACAAAAACAAACATACTCACTTACAGTACACATATGCAGCTCAATAGTTTTGCTATTTTGAGAGATGGCTTTCCATACCCTAGCTGTTTTTTGCTCTTGTTTTTGACTGGTAGGGGAATCAATATTAATTGAAATAAGGTTAATGTCATACTTGCTTAGCAATCCCCTTTAACATTTCAATACAAGTCATGATATTATCCTCATTTTTAAATGTGAAAATATTTGTACAGCTTCTCATTTCCTTAAAAAAAGAAAAAAAATTCCATTATGATTACAAGAATATTCAAGATGTACGATTTTGTTTCTGTCCTTCACAGAGAAATGGTGATAATTCCCCAGTTAGTCAGGGTAAAATGCAGCAGCCTATGTAATGACCATATTTTTCTTTTGACATGTGACAACCATGTAATCATGTACCTTCAGCTGTTGCCAAGGAAATATAATTCCCATAATTCTAAGTAGCGGCCTCTGTATCACTTGAGAAATACTAATTTGCATTTAAACCTTCCTGCAACAAATACAGGTACAGGTCCTGGTACAGGATAATTGTTTTGTTAAAATTTAATGATCTTTAGTTTATCTCTTTATCTTCCTCTTCCTCTATGCACAGCAGTCCAATTACAAAGTTACATAACATGTTTAAAATAAATGATCAGATTTTGTACTTTTCAAGAGGTATTTTTAATCTAACCTAATAGGGAACACATTCCTTTCCATTTAGTATCAAGAAGCAATTTAGGATTTGTACTTGAAAAGTATTGTGTATATAAACAAAAGTTTAATTTTACCTTAGATATATCACTTGAACACAATGTAATATTCATATTTTATTAGCAATTTATTTAACTTTGTTGCACTAAAAAGTACAATACCTGCAAAGGTATGATTGTTAGTGTATATCTCTGCATTGTTACGACTTTTTATTTTTAAATTATTCACAGCAAGAAAAAACTACTATTCACAACAGCATGATTAGAAACAATTACCTGTGACTTTGGAAATAATAATGTAATGTTGCTTTATTAGCCCTATACAGTTTTTTGCACTAGGAATTCATCTTTTCACATACCCCAGCTTGCTCTCCATGAGACACACAGATAGGGAGAGAGCCTGGGGTCAGAGCCCAGGGTCAGCCATTGTACAGCACCCCTGGAGCAGTTAGGGTTAAGGGCCTTGCTCAGGGCCCAACAGAGAAGGATTCCTCTGCCAGCTGCAGGATTTGAACCAGCAACCTTCCAGTCACAGGCACAGATCCTGAGCCACAGAGCCACCCCAACACAAAAGTGTTTTAGGATAGATTGGGTTGGAACACAAATACTCTCAATTGAAATAAAGAAAATGAAAACTTTAGTGAAAATAAAACAAGGACTCCTTAACACAGTTAGGCTGACAATGTAAAATGACATTGTGATTCACAGTCCACAGCCCACAAAGACTTCTTTTCTTATATTAAGGATTACAAAAGCACGCATTTCACCCACAGGGAGTGATAGTGCCACATTCATCATTCCAGATACCCACAAAAAAAGAAGCAACTGCATTCTGGCAATGGATGAGGCTGTGTGTGGGAAGATATAGATTTCGAGTTAAAATAACCACCTTAAGAATTGTGCCATTTCATTTGCAAATCACCATCTCCCAAAACAACCATAATGTGGATAAGCGGAGCATTTAAACTTGTTGTGGGTGTTATGAAACTACAGTATCTGAAATGACTTTACTCATGATTCATGAGTACACAGAGGGTACAAGGTTTGTAATGCAGTAAGCAATCAAATCATCCAGAAAGCATTCATGAAATAATGCATGAAAAGTTAATAAAGAAACATCAGTGATATTACTGTCTGGGCAGTGTCTTTAGTCCATTAAGATTTTTAAAGGTATGAAATTTAGACAACGTTAACGCAGGATGCAGTAATGCTCAGTATCCAATATTTACTTCTCTGCCCTGAAGGAAGCTGCAATAATTATTTCAGTGGAAGTGGACATAAAAGACCCTTGTGTAGAAAAACATTGTAATACCGCACAGCTGGCTTTTCTGAATGTGACCTCAATTCACAGTATTTACACACGTCTAATGAATAAAGAAGAATTTAGTGTTAAATTTATTTTTTGGCATTAGAGAGAATGTATTATTAGATATGTTTAAGACTCGGAAATACAGCAGAATTAACTTCCAGTTAGGTGTGAGAGCTTGATAACGACACAAAAAGGGGTACAAACTGAAGCAGTGTTTCTGTTAAAGTTATAAAAAAGACAGAGTAAAATTAGTAGAAAACCATGGCCTTTTTTATAGACAGTTTCCATTTATAATGGAAAGATCTTGTTTAACTCACTAAAACATTCTCTCTCCTCTCCCCTCTGACTAACTTTCTGGATGAAGTCTAGACACATATCCCAGCTGTTCTTATAAACCTCATAAATAGCCCAGAGGTGTGGCTAATTCCACACTGAGCCTATCCTGACAACTCCTTTCCTTCATGTGTATTTCTGCTTCCCCTGAGTGCTAATTGTTCTTTCACACCAGCTGAGCCTCATTATGTGGGTTTTTCCAATTCACAAAGCCACCTATCACTAACCCACACAGTCATATAGACTAACAGACAGAGATGACAAACTGAATATACTGTAGGCTCGCTAATCACACACAGATAGTGTTGCTCAACACACCTGTCCAGATTAAGTTTAAAAATAACCCCAATAGTCATGTGTTTATTCCATGCTGAAAAGAAAAGAGAAGAAAGAAAACACAAAATTTCGGCCGGGAAGACACCTGAAGCAGACTTTGTGAAACGTGCAGATACAATCAAAATCAGACTGTAAGCAGGCAATATTGATTCGCCCTGAAAACTGTACACCCAGAAAGTGAAGAAACAGTTGAAAATCACAAATTGCAACTGACATGATCTTATAGTATATCACTCCTTTTCCTTTTACAGTGATGCTGGTCAAAAAGTATTAAAAAAATATCAATAAGCAATTGACACACACTGCATACTGTGCGACCTCTTGCGATTTCCTACATCAACACTTACTATAGCAGCATATGGCAACTTCGTCAAATAAGAATACTTCACACCAAACAAGACTGCCCTCTGAGTTTCTCAAATAAGGGAACTTGGATGGGCCAAATAGTCTCCTTTGATTTGTACATTTGAAAGCAGATCTCCTTTTTGTGTTCATACAGGTTTTTCTGAGCATCATCCACGCTTAATCCACATTTGTGTATTTTCTGGATGATTAATCTTTTTATCTGTACACAGCCTGCATGTGCATAGCTCTAAATTTTATGATGTAATTCACCTGCTGTCTGCTGATTTACAGGAAGGCTTATTCTAAATCCCCGGAAAAGCCCGGATTCCCTATTTTCCTGAAGCTAAAACAAGTCATGCTGTTGTCATGCTGCATAGAAATGGAATTTCAGTTAAAACATAAATTGAGGTACTAGTATGATATAAACAGAGAGTTTTTTTTTATATGAGGATGTTTAGTAGTACATCATAAAATACTGCTGTTCATTCCTAGTATTGAATTACACTTTCAAAATCAAAGGGAAAAATACATTTTTAAAATGTATCCCATTCATAATCCATGAGCTACAGTGAGAAGGAACCATACATTTCAGTGCTATCTGTCACAGAACTAATGGTCCGGTGAAAGGTTTCATAAAAGATTAAGAATTCAATCATTTCTTTAACCTCCAAATGGCACTGTCCTCCCTGTCAGCTGAGGACTTGAGATTTTGCACCCATCCCCGAAACGTTCTGAACAACTGTCGTTGCTACCAAATACTTTTTCTGCAATACATAAACATGACATAATAGCTTGTTAATTGCTACCGATAAATCTACATGCAAAGAGTATTTCAGCCATGGACCTCTGGTAAGTTATTAAGAATGCAAATAATAAATAGCTAAACCCATTCGATGCTTTCAAATAAAACAATATAACCATAATTCCTTTTATTTACATGTTGTTTTTCATCCCAAAGAATCCCAAAGAGCTTAAAAACCCATGTTCTACTGTGAATTTCACTAAGTTCAAATACAGCATTATAAACAGACTGTAAAAGTGTCATCTACATGGTGAACAATACCTTATATAGGTTTTTAACATAATTGTCTAGGCAGCCTCTGTGGAGATATTGTACTTTTCCGGTTTCCTGTGTGTGATGATGAGATAGAATAAACTGGAACAATAAGAAACAGTAATAATGCATTAACTGGGCAAAATAAAAATCAACGCTGGTAAAGGGATTAAAAATAGTACATAATTTATTCATACAACAGAACATGCATAGAAAACCAACAAGAATAAAGGATTGTGAATCATTCAAAATTATGTGAATAAATCTCTGACCATTCACTCTGGGATTACAAAGTTATTAACATCGGTGTCCTGTGTGTCAACCTCTTCAGTTATATCAGTCTCATAAAATTAATCTTGTAAGGACTCAGGTCTGTAACGGGAGCTGGTCCAGGCTCCCATGAAGCGT